AAAAAAAAAAAAAAAAAAAAAAGTAACAACAGAAGACGAAGTTGTATTTTCGAAATTCCAAATTGAATTTTAATTTTAATTTGGGTTGGAGTGCAGTTACTCTGTGTAGTTATAGCTTCCCTTCCGAATTCCAATCCATTCGATTCCGTGGAGAGCTTGCGATGGAACCTTCCACTTCTTCCTACAAGGTACTCTTCCTTTCGACCTAGGGTTTCTCTTCCATCTTCCACGCAATTTTCTGCGTTTTGCATTGCTGCACACTGTTTCCTCACTACTCATTCCTTCTCGCTTTCAACTCCCGCTATTCGCAGATTATACTAGGTTCATCCTCAGTCGCGCGCCGCAAGATATTATCCGAAATGGGATACCAATTCACACTAATGGTTGCTTCATATCTCTGAGCCATTTCCTCTATGTTTCGTCGTTTCAGGTTTTGTTTAGCTTTAATTTGTTAATCTTCAGTGACGGTTTCGTTTAGACTGCAGATATTGATGAAAAGAGCATCCGGAAGGAATCTCCGGAAGAGTTAGTTATGGCTCTCGCCGAAGCCAAGGTTTGTGTACTGTCAGTCATGTGATGTTTGAGATTAGATTGTGATTTGGTTGTGATGTGTGTTTGGTTCAGCTTATTTTAAATAAATAATTGCTTACTTTTATTGCGATTTGATTACATTTCCAAACACGTACCAATTCTGCTAGAGAGTATATGCTATAAATAATTGCTTTCTGATGTCAACTGTTTTGGTGCCTTTTCTTAATGGAAGGGCGTGTTTTGAGATCAATTGTTCTCTGATTGTGAATGTGAATTACATGTCAGGCCAATGCCATTATATCCAAACTTCAAACTACCAGTAATCAAGAGGGGGTTGATGAACCAACTATTTTAATTGCGGCAGACACAGTATGTTGCGTTCTCCTTAGTTAATGGTTTTTAGGTTCTTTGTCACCTGGGCCATTTATTAATTGAGGATATACAGTTTTTGACTTTTTGTAGAGGATTTAGTGGGTACTCCAGTTTGCACATTACAGATCCTGCTTCTTTGGCTATTCTTAGGAAGAAATGATGAAATATGAGCCTTTCCATAAGAGCAGACCAAATGCTGTCTAGGTGAAATTGCCATAATTCATAAACATTTCAGTTTTCTTCTTCTTCCTTCTTGTTTTCAGTTCTCATGTGTATATTTGAGGGAACTACCAAAATTCATCATAGTATCCTCACGCTACTATCTTTCTAACATTTTGAATGAATATTGCTATTGTGTTCTTTAAAATTTAGTACAGAAGTGGAGGTTTTATGCTGTTCATTTGTTAATATTGGGGTTCTGATTCTATGTGCTTCTATTATATTTAAGACATGTTTGTATTATTGAGTACTCTGCTCCTCATAAAATAATAAGTGCAATAAGTAGTAAGTTCTTGGGTATCATGTTCATTGTTTTTGACTGTCACACAAGTGGTCTCTATTTTTTCAAAAAATTATTTCATGGTTTCTGCTAGTGTTGTCCTCTATTTGAAGTTGTTACCTGCTGAGGTTATGTAATTGTTACAAATTTATAAAATGCCACTGTTATCTTATAGTTGTGCAGCTGATACTTGCGCACTTATTTTAGCTGCTGTTAATTTTTTCCTTAGGCAGAAGCCATCTTACAAAGGCTCCCTGTTGATGACTACTTAAAGGATGCTGAGCCAACGTTATTAATTACCTGTGACCAAGTATACACCATATTCTTCTTAATACTTCTTTTCTAGTTTGCCATAGTATCTCTTCAAAATATCACCATGCATGAGCAGCATCTAATAAAAAACTTTTGAAGGGCAAGTCATTAAAATTTCAATAATGTTATCACTGCTTCCTTCCTAACAATCTCTCTCCCTTCTCTTCCATACTTGTGGATGTTAATAAATACTGAAGTCTTTTCTTTCGTTTATGGACTGTAATTGACTAGTGTTTATTAATAATCTAAAATATTCCAGTCCAAAGTCTCCATACAAATTGATTCCTTCATTTCCTTGTATTAAGGAAGCCTAAATGACCTCCATTCTCTTTAATGCCCAAACGTGCAAATTCATGCTCGCCACCCTCATAAATAAATGGCCTTATGGTGACAAGATTAGTTTGTAGCATAAATTCTCTAGTTTCTTTTCTTCTTTGACTCAATGTTTGCTTATGGCTTACATTCCTTGTCAAATGATTTGGAGGTGGTGGTGTATGAAGGTGTGATTAGGGAAAAGCCAGCTGGCAAAGAAGAAGCTCGACAATTCTTGAAAGGTATGCTTAATGTTATATTCCTATCATTTATCAACTAATAAATGTTTCCTCTTTTTCTCTCTCTCACCCTTCCAGTGAGCATGAACTTCTAATCACCTCCTATATATTCATATTTAACGACTCTATACAATTTCAGATTATTCTGGAGGGCGTGCTGCCACAGTGAGTTCTGTACTAGTTACTAACCTCAAAACAGGATTGAGAAAGGGAGAATCAGATCGTGTGGAGGTATTATTTGCCCCTACCTTTGCTCTCTTGGATGATTATTATCCAGTCCATCTCCTGTATTGTCTGACAAAAGTTCAAAACTGATTCTCTATCCAGTATGATACCAATACTTGTCCAATAAACAGTCAGGGAAGTCTAACTCTGACTTTTACTTTCAACTATGCTAATAATTACACACAAAGGTTCCCTACTCTTCTGATAAAAGGGAGACATCAGAACTCAAACGTGGTTCTAACCTTTGCTACTTCTCTATAAAATGTTCATGTCCAAATAACTTGTCAGGAACAATCCCTTGTTGGGATAGCAGCTGACTTGTATTACCTAGATGAAGATAAGATGAGCTTTTCACCTTGTTCCTTTTGTGGGGATAAATATTTCCAAGGGATTGGCTAATGGCTACGGTGAAAAATCATTACTAGTGAAGCATGAAAAGATGACATTAGGCTGATCATTTACCAAACCTGAGAAAGTTTTGGAGCTGAGCCACCAGTTTTTTAATTGGTGCAAAAATTTGACAATTAGTTTCCCAATAAAACCTGAGTGGGAAAAGTACAATATCAATTACTGCATGCTAGACGACAATCACATTGATACCATTAGTACCCTATGCCAGATTTTGTTTTCCTGCTATTCTGTTTCGATAATAATAGTACTTCCTGTGCTTGCTCGATGATTTTAACAATTACTACCATATAGGATATGTTTGCTGCTGATTTCTGTTTCCAAGATAAATCAAAACCTCTATTATTTTAATCTTGATTACTCTGACTTTTTCTCACAACACTAATGGAAGGAACTTACTTTTTTCAAATTTGGGTGTGTGAACCTTCAGTTTTATGATTTTTGGCAGTGATATTCACGGTTGCCACATGACTGTTGATTTTGTACTGTGATGTTTTGCAGATAAATTTCAATGAAATACCTGAAGAAATCATTGAGAAGCTGGTATGCATTGTTTCTTGTTGTGGTTGTTTTGTGTATGTTTCTTATATAGACAGTGCTTCTGGTCTGAGCTGACTTTCGTTGCTTAGTCGAGTAGCTAATATGCTTTTTAATCCTTTTCTTATTCAGGTTGATGAGGGAGTTACTCTCAATGTTGCCGGGGGCCTGCTAATAGAGCACCCTTTAATACTGCCGTTTGTCAAAGAAGTGGTTGGTTAACACCTCTTGTGTAGTTAGGAATGTCAGTGCATCTTAATAATAGCCATGGGGGGACATGCTGCCTTGATCTTCGGGGACATGGACAAGTCAGACTCATGACCCTGTCTGCATGCTAGTAGTTTAATTTATAGATGTTGCCATCCAATATCTGGTGTCAAATGAATGCTTCTTTTGGGTTTATACTAAGCAATTAGCTTTTTTTACTTGTTACTTTTTAGTATGAAGTGCCAGTATTCCATTATTCAGTGTTCACCATTTAAAACTATATATCTGTTGTTAAAAAGAATCTTTAATTTATTAAGTTTTGCTGGCTACATATTTGTTTCTGGAGCATATCTAGTTTAGCTTTTGATTTCGTTACCACTCAAACTGAAGCAAAACTACAACAATGACAACGACCAAGAGTTTTCCGACTAGTTATGATTCACTACATGGATGAATTTGCATCTTGGTTATCCTGAAATCTTAGTGAAACTTCCATGTTTGCCTAGCTAGTTTCCCGCTGGGACAGTCTTGCTGGTATTTTACTTTCTAGTTCCTATCGACTGTAAATGAATTATAAATATATGTGTATTTGCAGGTAGGGACAACGGACAGTGTGATGGGACTCCCCAAAAGTCTGACTGAGAAACTGTTGAAGGAGGCCCTGTAGCTTGAGCTACCGTTCCACCTTGTGTGACTGTTAAGTAATGGCTTAATTTGTGAACCTTGGCCTTTCTTGTCAACATTTCCTAAACTCAGTGCTGTCTTTTCTGGTCATAGTTATGGTTAGGCTGGGTTGTACTGTGTGTGGCAGTTATGTCTGAACTTTATTGGGTATTCTGATCAAAGTTAATCAATTGGCCCATGTTTTATTGGTAGCATAATGCTGTATTGCGACTATTCATTGGTTTAGCATGTTGACATCTGCAGTCATGTGAATTGATTTTATTCGGATTCAGATACATAGTCAGTCCGGGTGGTTGGAAATACTTGCATACTGAAATTAAGGATGACATCGAAAATATTGTAGTATTTTTTTTCTTCTTGGACACTTTTGGCTGCGAAGTTTAGTCAGTTATGTCATCGACTATGCAAATGCAATGCGTGATTGAATTGTGGAAAATCCTAGAATAAATTATGTTTTAAAAAAATCCGCTGACGGCAGAGGGATAACCCAAATCTTTGATTTTGGGGTTCTATAATCTATATATTAATCATGCTCCCCTTCGAATTATTTTTGATAGTTTTTATGCATTTGAATTATTTAGGTAATTTGCGAACATTGCCGCGGGTTGTTGGCAATTCCCTGGACTGACTTGTAAAGCATGGCTTGTTTGTTGTCAAGAATCATAGCCCTCCATAATTTAATGAGGTGACCTGTATTCCATTTCCAGCACTTCTAGAATTCCCCCTTGCATTTACTCTCTCACATTTATTTTCGGTCTCTATCAAAGCGTGAGAAAATAGCAAGAATTTCGTTCTTGTTTATCTTGTGTAAGAGTACCGATAGGTACACGCACCTTATTAAGTTTTCAAATATGCATTTTCTGAATGGTTCAGATTCAAGCAAGTCTAGTTTGCGAAGAGTTTAAAAAGGTAAACGTGTCTGCAAAATATAATTTCGAAATAAAAAATTAGCTGCCCCCAAAAGCGTGGTTCATATATTAATTTGATAATAGTTGTTGAAAATGTCGTGAATGACGTAACGTTGCTAACTGGTCCTCCCATGGATTGAAGAAATCGATTTGTCCTCTGAATAAACAATGTCTTTTTCTATTCAGGCCATTTGATTGAAATCAACAATTTCTGCTGGCCAGAATTCACCAACCTTACATCATCCCATCCTTAGCTTTCAAAGTCCACTTGTTTAATAGTACAATATCTGGGCTCAGTCCAGTTTCTGTGACATCATAATCAGTTTGTCTCGGACTGTCATTAATTAGTGTGTGTGGAGAGAAAAATTTACGTTTAAAAATGAAAATCAAACACGCACTTAACATGCACTATTATTAATTTTAATTTTAAAATAAAATAACAAGTATTTTTTTTTTATAGAAAACGAATATCCTCCATTATTTTATTGGAAGAGGATACAACTGAGTAATTAATAAAGGATTAAAAATGTTTCTAGTTAAAATTTAGAATAATTTTTTTTTCAAATTTAAAATTATTGATTTTAATGTTATGATTTAAAAAATTTTTATTATAATCTTTTATATCATCAATAATATATTAAAAAATGACAGATTGAGATAATTATATCATATCAACTGAATTTAATGTGATATTTTTATTATTAATAAGTAGATTTTATACGACCATATTTGACAAATTTTTTGATAAAATTTGAATATGAAAAATAAAATAATTTTTTTAAAATTATAAGACTAAAAAAATCAACTTTAAATATTCAACATAATCAACTCTTATATATTAAACATAAATATTTTTCATACAACATTTTAAAAAAAGATTTCTTCAACCAGGAAATTTTTAGAAATTTCTTATTTAATTTAATTTTTATATAATAAATATTCTGTATCTGTATTACACGGATTAAAATATTATTTACATATTTACTTGTCAAATTGATGATTAGTAAATATTTATCAGAAGAATTTCATCTTTAATGTTAAAATATTACCTAAGATTTTATTTATGGTATTCAGAATCATTTTAGCTCAAAAAATTCCTTTAATATAATTACTCTCCAAAATAAAATCTTATAACAATGGAGTATTGTAAGTTAAGACTAAACCTGAAATTATTTATGTGATGCGATAATGTGTGGTGATAACTGATAAGTAGTAGAATAAGAAGCATTTGGCATTTAGATTAAATCCGAGAGTAAAAAAACGGAAATTACTTGCGTGAGCACCTAATACTAAAGGAACAGAGGAGCATATGTGAGTAGGAAGGCAGGAAGCGAAGCTTGTTATAACCGAGCCCAGGTGCCGCTGGCGCAGTGTACGGAACAGTGAAATCAGCGTTTTGGTGGCAGTGGAGACAGGGAAGCTTCCTCTGCGCCATTTGAAGGCTTGGACTCATTATCGATAGGAGACAAAAGCAAGGAAAGACACATTGATTCATATTCGCATCATCCCGGAGAAGATGACAGTGACGGTGGGAGTTCAGATCCAGCAACAGCATCAGAGCAGAATGGCCCTCCCTGATTTCCTCCAGAGCGTGAATCTCAAGTACGTCAAATTAGGTTACCACTACCTGATCTCCAACCTCCTAACCCTATTCCTCGCCCCACTCATCCTCGTCGCTCTCATCCAGGTCTCCCAAACCACCGACCTCCACCACCTCTGGCTCCACCTCCAGTACAACCTCCTCACCATCCTCACCTGCTCCGCCGTCCTCGTCTTCGGCGCCACCCTCTACGCCGTCACCCGCCCCCGCCCCGTCTACCTCCTCGACTCCTCCTGCTTCCGCCCCGCCGACCACCTCAAGGCCCCCTTCCAAAGCTTCATGGACCACTCCCGCCTTACAGGCGACTTCGAGGATTCCTCCCTCGATTTCCAGCGCAAGATCCTCGAACGCTCTGGCCTCGGAGAGGAGACCTACGTTCCCGAGGCCATGCACTCTATTCCGCCTCAGCCCTCTATGGCTGCCGCCAGGGCTGAGGCGGAACAAGTAATGTTCGGTGCTCTGGATAATCTCTTCCAGAGCACCGGTCTCAAACCAAAGGATATTGGTATCCTTATTGTGAATTGTAGCTTGTTTAACCCCACGCCTTCTTTGTCTGCCATGATTGTTAATAAGTACAAGCTGAGGGGTAACATTAGGAGCTTTAACCTAGGTGGGATGGGGTGCAGTGCTGGTGTCATTGCTGTTGATCTTGCCAAGGATCTTTTGCAGGTCCATAGGAACACCTATGCTGTGGTTGTTAGCACTGAGAATATTACTCAGAATTGGTACTTTGGTAACAAGAAATCCATGCTCATTCCCAATTGCTTGTTTCGCGTGGGCTGCGCTGCGCTGTTGCTCTCTAATAAGCCCGCCGATCGCCGGCGGGCTAAGTATAGGCTTTTTTCTTT